AAAAAAAAAAAAAAAAAACTAAATTAATATAAAATACCTAAGGAGACCATAAAGGTCCTCTGGCTTCAGGAAATGGGTAAGAGTATTTCAGAAATAAAAAATGTTCTAAAATAAGTTGCATTAAAAAACTCAATTAAAGCACGTCAGCTTACAAAAATAGGAAAAACAGAAACTGATTTTACTTCAATAATACTGAGAAATTGACAAAATACAAATCACTTACTGTTATAAACAATTTTTCAAAAAACTTATTTCTGGGTTGGGGCTGGGGCTCAGTGGTAGAGCGCTAGTCTGGCATGCATGAGGCACTGGGTTTGATCCTCAGCACCATATAAAAATAAAATAGAGGAATTGTGTCTACTACAACTAAAAAAAAAAATACACATTAAAAAAATTTTAGTCCCCCCCCCCCCGCTTTTTTTTTTGTACTGGGGATGGAACCGTGAGGGTGCTTAATCACAGAGCCACATATTTCTTTTGGGATTGGGCTAGTACCAGGGATTGAACTCAGGGGCACTGACCACTGAGCCATGTCCTCAGCCCTATCTTGTATTTTATTTAGACAGTCTCACCGAATTGCTTAGCACCTTGCTTTTGCAGAGGATAGCTTTGAACTCACAATCCTTATGCCTCAGCCTCTGAGGCCCTGGGATTATAGGTGTGGCCATTGAGCCTGGTCTGAACCACCTATTTTGAAACAGGGTTCACTAAGTTGCTTAGGACCTCAATAAATTGCTAATGCTGGTCTTGAACTTGAGATTCTCCTGCCTCAGCCTCCCAAACTGCTGGGATTACAGGTGTGCACTACCATGTCTGCCTTAAAAAACTTTTTCCTTAAGCATTAAAGTCATTTGCTTGGCATTAATGAATGCATTTAATTTAATGAACTGGCTGAGATTAGGTTTAATATTTGTTTTTATTTTTAGTTTTTATGTTCATTTTTTCAGTTTTGGGAATTGAACCCGGAGCACTCTACCACCAATATATGTCTCCTTTATATTTTTTATTTTGAGACAGGGTCTCACTAAGTTGCCTAGGTTGACCTTGAGCTTATTAAAATCCTCCTGCCTTAGCCTCCTCTGGAGTTACTAGGATTATAGGTGTATACCACTACATCTGGCTCGAAATTTGTTTTGTTTTTTTTTTTTTAAAGAGAGAGTGAGAGAGGAGAGAGAGAGAGAGAGAATTTTTAATATTTATTTTTTTTTAGTTCTTGGTGGACACAACATCTTTGTTGGTATGTGGTGCTGAGGATTGAACCCTGGCCGCACGCATGCCAGACGAGCGTGCTACTGCCTGAGCCACATTCCCAGCCCCTCGAAATTTGTTTTTAAAATAAGTGTTTAAATATTTCTTAAAAAATAAAAATTGTGGGGCTGGGGATGTGGCTCAAGCTGTAGCGCGCTCGCCTGGAGTGCGTGCGGCCCGGGTTCGATCCTCAGCGCCACATGCAAACGAAGATGTTGTGTCCACCGAAAACTAAGAAAAAATAAATAAATGTTGAAATTCTCTCTCTCTCTCTTTCGCCCTCTCTCTCACTCTCTCTTTAAAAAAAAAAAAATTGTGTAATTCTATTCAATTTTGATTTTTGCAATATCAAAAGTTAATAATCAAGAATAAATAATAGAGGGGCTGGGATGTGGCTCAAGCGGTAGCGCGCTCGCCTGGCATGCGTGCGGCCTGGGTTCGATTCTCAGCACCACATACCAACAAAGATGTTGTGTCCGCCGAGAACTAAAAAATAAATATTAAAAATTCTCTCTCTCCTCTCTCTCTCTCTCTCCTCTCTCACTCTCTCTTAAAAAAAAAAGAATAAATAATAGAAAACATCAATAAAGTAAATTATGTTCTATTTAGGAATTTTAGTATCAGATAAGAATAAAAAATAATAACCACATCTATCTTTTGGAAGAAATTTTTTGGTAGAGAAGTCGGGAAAAAGGCAGCACTAAATTCAAGGAAAATAAATATTTTGCAATGTAAACACAAAGCAAAGAACATATATTATAATGTAGAAATCATGATTAAGTGTTATTTGGTCATCTTGGGCTGGATCTCAGCAAGGCCAAAGCAAGCTGGCCTCTTGGGGCAGCCACATAGAACTAGTTGTTTTTCAGTAAAGCCACCACCCACCACCCTGTCAGGAAGTTTGCAAAGACACCTACAAAAAATGCTCAGGTTTAGCTTCATCTGTGTTTTTAAAAGCCAGTGACAGTGCCTGGGTGAGGATCCCAAGGTGGCACAGCCCAGGGACTCCCCAGACTCATTTAGCTGAAGAAACCAGGCTCAGACCCCTGGAGTTAATGAAACAAAACTGTATTTAATGAACAACAACATCGTAGGTTACAGGTCTGGACAGTGGGGGGCTCAAAAAAAGGGGGGGGCAGTAAGGGCTGTGGCACTCTGGGGGAGCAATGTCACTACCTCTTAGCACCTCTCCCCTGAAGAGGGATTCATGTGATTCCCCTGTCCAAGAGGGCAGCATGGCAGGAGAACTGCCCCATCTCAAGGTGGGAAACTTGAACTCCAGGTAGTTTATCAGCTTACCCAAAGCCACATAAGGTTCCTGTACTGCTCCTGTACACCATTACCCAGCTCAGAGGCGACATGACTAGACAGGCAAAAGGGGATGAACCCCTCACAGGAAGGGCAAGCATGGTGTTGGAAGAGGCATTAGTGCAGTACACAGTGACAATGAGAGGTGCTGGCTGCAGCCAGGTGGGACTAGGCATCTGTCCTATTTCCCAGGTCTCAATGGCCCAACATCCACTTGGGTCACTGCTTCTCCCCTCTTCTCTCTGGTGTCCAGACCCTCAGGACTGGCTGAGGGGGTTCACAGGGCAGAATGGGAGGGTACAGGGAGGTATACTCCCTGCAGTGCTCAGAGAGAAGTATTCCCTTGGCACCTGCCATGCACAAGGCCAGCACAGGGCTCAGGCAATACAGATGCCCAGGGGCCTGAAGGATCTAAGGGGAGGGGGCAGCACACAGAAAACCATGACATGTGGCCAGCCACAGTGCCAGGAGAGGCATATAGAGAATGGATGTAGTAGGCAGAGAAGACCAGGAGGTGTTATGTGGGCAGGACCTAGGGAAGTGCAGAGAAGTAGGAAGGGCAGGACTGAGGCAAGCATCCATGCTGAGGGGTCCGAGTTTGACCCTGGCCTGGTGGCCATTGTGTCAAGAGGGGAAAACAGGATGACTGTAGAGATTGTGGGAGGCTCAAGGAGGCCACGGAGATGGAAAGAGGAGGGCTGAGAAGCCACAGCAAGTCCAGGCATCTCTGGGCAGGCCTCTGGGAATGGCACTGGCTGTTTGGGAGGTTGATCAAAGAAAGTCCCTCCTGGGGCCACCTCTTCAGGTGGACTTGCAGCAAGGAAAGGCCCACCAAGAGCTTCAGGCTCTGCAGAAACACAAGGACATGTCACATTCCCTCCAGCCCCCACCCCATCGGCCTTTGACCCTCTCTAGGGGAATAGGGGAGCAATGGGTCTCAGCACAAATCCTGCCCTCCGCTTTCCCACTCTACAGTAGCAAATGCAGCCCAGCAAAGTCTCAGAGTGGAGTTACTGCTGGAGAGGAGACCCCCAGGGAAGGAGGGACTTGACCAGAGGCCTGGGGAGATGCTCTTGGGGAGGGAAGTGGGATCCTACCGGGAACAGTGCCAAGGGACCAATCCTTGGGAGAGATCAGGTTCCCTCCAGAGGGGAGTGACACCTTGCAGCACCAGTAGGGGGCACCACAGCCACACACTTGGTGGAAGGTTCCTCTGTCTTTCCATCCCCCTCATCAGGGCCTGAAGCCCCAGTGGCAGCAAGATGTAGACCCCCAACCTATATAGCCTTGGGAAGATTCCTCCACAGAGAGCCATGGCCTTCAATTGGGAAGGAGTGTGCCTTCTATGCAGGCACTGTGCTGGCCTGAGCCCCCTGAACTCTAACCCAGAGGCAGGTGGGATCAGGGGGCCTCTTCCAAGTAGAAGGAGGCTTGGCCAGGCTTGGCCATGGTAATCCAGCTGCAGGCCAATGCTGCTCACCACATAGGGGCGGGTTTCACTCCCTGCTCCTGGAAGAGGTGACCCAGCCTCTACCCCACCACCCCACAGAGGCAGCTCAGTCACCATCAGCGCAGGCCCATCACTGGGTATCAGGGTCTTGGAAGCCCCAGGCCTCCACAGCAGCGATGAGGAAGTTCTCTGAGCAGAGGGGCTGGTTGTTGAAAGTGTCGCAGTGTCCCGTGCGGCCCCGGTTCAGGTCCCCGTCGATGTAGAGCGCCTGGCCACCCCCTCCCCCTACAGGGTGCTCAAGTCAGTAGCAGCCTCTCTGTCCCCACCCACAACCCATCAGCACTGCCCTTGAGGTGTGTCTCTGCCTAGACTGGGCAACCTCAGAAGTCCTTGCCAGAGGCCTCTCTAAAGCCTCTGGCAAGTGGTCCCTTTAGGCCTTGCCTAGCATGTGCAAGGCCCAGCATCACAAAAATAAATGCATAGGTACATAAAACCACAGGCTGACCTTTGAACCTCCACAGTACCCTGGGCCTGGCTGTCCAGGTAGATCCCTGCTTCCTAGTCTATTTATCCCAATCCTCACTCACAATCCTCCATGCCCTCCCCCCAGGGTAGGTGGAGGAAGTGGGTTCCTACCGATGATGAGGCAGTCAGTGCCCCCAGCCATGAACATGGACTCAGTCTTGGAGGGCAGGTTGAAGTGCCGAGCAGCCAGGAATGGTGAGAGTCGGTCAGCTGGGTCTGAACAGCTGGAGTGGGAGGATGTGCAGGGTACGGGCTTGGTAAGCTCTGGGTGCTTGATGACTACCCACTCGTAACGCTGTACCTCTGGCTGCAGCTGAGGGTGAATGGGCATGAGTTACTGGCATGCAGTGCCCCAGTGAGCCCCTTCTGTCCTCCAAAACCAAGGCCCATCTCCATTCCATAGATTGGCTGTGAGCCAGGGGCTGAAGAAATGACAACACACAAGCAGATGAGGTCCCACTTGCTCACAGGCACTTGACAGTGTGATTAAAACCCAGAAGTTGTGCTAGGCAGTAGCACACACCTCTAATCCCAGTGACCTATGAGGCTCACAGGAAGATCACAAGTTTAAGGCCAGCCTCAGCAATTTAATGAGGCCCTAATTAACTTACTGAGACCCTGTCTAAAAATAAAAAATAAAAAAGGGCTGGGGATGTAGCTCAATGTAACTCTGGGCTCAATCCCCAATACTGGGAAAAAGATAAAAATCATGTATAGCTAGGTGCAGTGGCACTTGCTTATAATCTCAGTGACTCAGGAGACTGAGGCAAGAGAGTTGCAAGTTCAAAGCAAGGATCTGCATCTTAGTGAGATTCTGTCTCAAAATATAAAATAGAAAGGGCAGGGATCTGGCTCAGTGTTAGAGCACTTTGGGTTCAATCCCCAGTACCAAAAAAAAAAAAAAAAAAAAGCAGAAGGAAAATATCCTGTAGGGTAACTGCTGTAGTGAAATGAAACATGATCATATGTTGTGTCCGCTGAAAACTAAAAAATAAATATTAAAATTCCCTCTCAAAAAAAAAAAAAAAAAAAGAAACATGATCATGTGAGCTGGGGTACCAGGGCAAGGGCCTGCCAACTCCTGAGCTCCCCCTGGGAGCTTTGGTGAGGTTCAGGGACTGGGAACAACCCTGGCCCAGGGTGACTGCTGGGCCTACACGGGGGGCCCTGGGCTCAGCCCCACTCACCCTAAATACAAAGCACTCTCCAGTTCCGAAGAAGGACAGTTTGCCTCCATACTTGTTTCTCTCACTCCAGTCTGTTGATAGATAAGCTCCACACACCTGAGGAAGAAGGTCAGGCCACCCCAGGAAGGTTCCCTTGTTCAGGCCTACTGAGGTACCAAGTCACAGGCCCCAGCAGGGCATGCAGTGTGTCACAGTCCCCCCACCCACCCACACACACCAAGTGCAAAAGGGATGTGGAGAGGGCTAAGTTTTGAAAAGTGCACCCGTCCACACCACAGGTTGAAGCTGGCCATGGGGTGGATGCCTCTGGGACATTTTCATCTCCCTTAGTGGTCCTCAAGCACAGGATGAGCTCCATGCATAGGACACATCCACATTTGGATTTTGGCATCCCTGGGAGATGCAGCCTCTCCCAGGTTCATCAGAGTCCAGGTCCCAGACTCCCTTGGGTCCTCCTCACCTCCTTCTGTGTGGTCTTGATGAGCAGGAGGGTAGGTTCGTGTCCCTCACACTGGAAATAGAACCTGGGGGCAGAGACCACAGATGCTACTCTGCTGCCCTCCCCACTATCTCCTGCCAGTCTCTGCTGACTCTTAGCCCAGGCTGTCAGGGGTGCTAAGGATCTGGCAATGTCCTCATCAGGTGCTCTTCTCACCTGGCTTTTCTCGGACATTCTGGGCTGTCTACTCCAGTTGGATGGAAGAGAAGCCTCATAGCAGATGGCCCCCTGAGGGCAGAGCCCAGAGCCAGGAGCTACAGGGAAGCAAGAACCAGAGGAACAGGTCCTCACTGTAGGAAAGCTGGGCACATCCTCAGGGGCTGGGCATGTGGGGCGACCCACAGATTCCAGTGTGGTGCACAGTGCTCGGCTGATGTGCTTGGTGGGGGTTGGGCAAAGTAGCTCCAGCTATGCCAAAATGCTTATATGGCTGCAGACAGGGCCTGGGGTGAAAGCTAGGCCAGCTCTGCCCAAATCACCCAGCCAGGTCACTTGTGACACCAGCTAGAGTTTCTGAGGCTACCTGCCATCCGAGACTTGAGGTGCTGAATACTGGCTGAGCATTTTTGGTGGCAGTGTGCCTGGGGAAACCCCCTATCAGAGAAATGCACAGGACCCTAAGCTATGGCCTAGGAGGCAGATCTCCAAAGTGTGGGTAGCCTGGAAATGACAAAAGTTCAGACAAGGGGCTTCTGATTCTTGGAGCCCACAGGAAGAGGTAGGGCCTCACCAGGGGCCCAGGTAGAAAGGCTTTTCCAACCACCCCTATGAACTCCTAGAAGTCATGGCAGGACATACCTGGTGCACCAAGTGGGCCTCACCTGCTTAGACTGTACCCATGCTGCAATGAGGAGAAAAGTAGAAGGGGCTGGCAAAGGGCAAACCGCTCAGGGACCCAAGACCAGATATCTCTCATCTCCTTCACGCTGACAATCTCAGAGCGGAAGTTCTCTGCATGGACGGCCAGGTGCACAAATTGCCTGGGGAGAGCAGAAAATGTCAGAGCCTGCAGTGACCTGACTGTATTCCCACCCAGGTCTCAGAGCTACTCTTTGTAACCAAGCCCAGAGGGGACATCTCATCTACTCGACCAGGTGTACTGCCTGATTCTAGGGCCTGGATACAAAGAATGGGGCACAGCTGTTCCCAAAAGCCCCACCTCCCACCTTCTAAAAGGGCAGAGTGCCCAGACTGGGGGTGTCAAAAGCACCTTTTCTCTAAGCAATCAGGACAGAAGGACAAAGTTGCAGGACCAGCCAAGTACCAGCAGATGGCACAACTGAGGAAGACAGACAGACAGATTGTGCCTGAGTGTCAGGCTGAGGAAGTGGAAGCTGGTTCATAAGAACCAGCCAGGCCCTGGGAAATAGCAAGAGTTGGTTCAGAGTTGGCTGCCAAAAAGGTGGAGAAGTCAGGCACTGAGGTGTGCTTTTAGACCTACCTTTTAGAAAGTGAGACACTGAAAAACAGGAGGAAGCAATGGACATGGAGAAGAAAAAAAAAAAATAAAACAGACAAGAAGAGGTTAGTGGTAGATACCAATCTCAGGGTGTGCCTTCCTCTGGCCCAAGAGAAAGAGAACTACATGCCAACAGTCACCCATGGCATAATCCCAGTGTCAGCTGCTGAACACCGTGACCCTTCCCAACCCTGCTCCCCAGAAGCTGCGCTCAGGGCAGGGAGACCACATCAGCAGCTATGAGAACCACCAGCCATGAAGCCCAGAGTTGGAGGGATGGAGCAGGAGCTGCTCTTACATGACCTCTGAGAGGCCAGCCTGGCCCCTATGGACTTTCTGACCCTCTGTTGCTGTCTAGCTTCCATCTCAGCCATTGACTTTAGTCCCTGAGGACAGGCCCTGGCATGTCTTGCTGTGACAGTAACTAGGAAGGCTCTTCCTGCTTTTTAGTGTCTTTCTACCCATATGTATACACATGGACAGACTGAGACTGATAGAATAAGCTCAGGCTCAGACTTCCAGGATGTAATCCACCAGAACCCTCACTCTTGCCTGGGTCCCTTTCAGCCTGCCAGAGGGGGCGCGCGCGCGCGCGCACACACACACACACACACACACACACAGCCTGGGGCTGCTTACCTCTTCTGCTTGACCGTGATACCTTTCTGCTTCAGTGCTTTCTCATTGGCCATCTGCAGGAGTTGGATCTCCTTGCGGGAGAAGAGACGGATGGCAAATGCTTTCTCTAGCAGCTTCTCAGGGGACACCGTCTTAGAAATATCCTTGACAAACATGCGGATGTCCTGCTTTACATTGTCTGACTCAAGAGGCTGACCAGCTCTCACCTTGTGAAAGAACTTGAGGATGGCCAGAGCGACGCGGTATAACACCTTGTAGCCTTCCACCAGGAAGACATCAAAGACACGGGCAAAGTAGTTGAGGGGCAGCTCTCCAAACAGCCAGCGCTGCCAGTCAGAGTAGACCTGCAGGACATCCTCTGACACAGCCACCATCAGCTTGTGGGCCGCCTGGCAGTACTTGTTTACCAGGTCCCCAAATGTCATACAGGATGACTCAAAGGCCAGGAAACTCTGGTCAATTAGCTTCTTGCTGGGGTCATTGCAAGCCAGGATGCGGCAGGCTTTCTCGAAGCATTCAGCCTCATCAATGCTGTAGTGAAGTAGCAGGGCCACTACGGCTGGCAGGGCAGGGCAGAAGGAGATGTCAGGGAACTGGTTGGCAATGCACAGGAGGATTTTGCGCACGGCACCCTCGCCCCGAGCATTCAGGCAATAGATGGGCACCTGGGTGTTGTCCACAAACTCTGGCAGGGGCAGGCTACTGCTGCTGTGCTTGCCCACAATTTTGCCCACAATGTCACTGTACACACTGGCATCAGGTGTGACTGTGCGGCAGGGGATGTCCCGGATCAGACGCTGGTACACCTTTCCCCTCAGGGCGTGGCTCTGAGCCCAATATCCCTGGCGTGCCAGCTGCTTTAGCTCCTGCAGCTCAGTGCAGCTTAGTTCCTTTGGCCCCAGGTCCTGGATTACAGCATCCATTTTGTCTCTGTCCACAAAGCAGTTGTACCCTGGGGAATCCATGGTGTTGGTATGCCAGGGAGAAGGGCCCCAGGCTGCCAGGATGGGCGTAAAGAGTAGCTAGATCCTCAAGTCCCCTCTACAGAGTTTGCTTGCTAACCTGTCTGCCATCCCACACCCTGTAGAATTAAAAAATATTTTTAGTACATATGTTTGAAAAAAATTTGAAAAATTTTTAAAATAACTTTTTTGTCCGCTACACTTTTTGCCTAGCTACTCAGGAAGCTGAAGCAGGAGAATGGCAAATTTGAGGCAAGCCTGGGCAACTTAATAAGACCCTGTCTCAAAACAAGCTGGGAGGGGGGTGGGATATAGCTCAGTTGGTAGAGTGCTTGCCTTGCATGTACAAGGCCCTGGGTTCTATCTCCAGAACATACCAAAACAAACAAACAAACAAACAAAAAAAAAAACTCAATAGACTGGGCTTGTAGCTCAGTGGCAGAATGCTTATCTAGCATGTGCAAGGATCTGGGCTCAATCCCCAATACTGAAAAAAACATTGTTTTTCTGTTTTAATGTTTCTACAAAGTACTAGAAGGGCCTCCATTTAAGATAAATAGCTGTTCTGGATGTGGTGGAACATGCTTATAATCCCAGCAACTCAGGAGGCTGAGGCAGGAGGATTCTAAGTTCAAGACCAGCCTCAGCAACTTAGCAAGGCCCTAAGAAGCTTAGTTAAACCTTATCTCAAACTAAAAAAAAAAAGGGCTTGGGATGTGGCTCAGTGGTTAAGCGTCCCTGGGTTCATTCCTAGTACCAAAAAAAAAAAAAAAAAGAAAGAAAGAAAGAAAAAGAGAGATAAAGGACTCTTCTGAGAAATCATTATGAACTTTGGACTATATCTTATTTTCACAGAGCTCAGGTGTTACTGGAATGGGCTACACAGGTTTAGAGTAATGAGAAGCTAGGGACAGGGTCCCTCGAAAGGGGTTTAGAGACCAACTGTGCTAAAAACAGTTGGACCTCTCCTCAGGAGGTCCACTCAGGCTCTCAAACACCCCGTCCTGAGGCCTGGGATCTTCCAAAAAGGAGCCAAGGGCCAGGAGGAGTCTGTGAGCAACTCCTTCTTTCAGCCCTTGGAGGCAAAGGCTGTGCACTGAGGACCTGCGCCTGCTCCGCCTTACCTGGCCTGGGTTGGAATTCTGAAGCCAGCTCTTAACTTTGACATTGTCAGCTTGGAAGGTACATTCTGCAGGCAACTCCAGAAAGAATCACTGGGGATGGGGGGTGTGCTGAGTAATAAATGGAAGGTGACCCAGCTTCAAAATCAGACTTCTGGGGACAAAGGATGGAGTCTCAGAAGCTTCAGTGCCATCTCTCCATGATGCTGCTGCTGTTCTTCATACACACATAACAAACAGGGGAGCTGAGCCTCAACAGGAGGTTCTAAATAGCCACCTACAACAGCCAGTCTTCTGCTTCAGGTCCCACACTCACCAAACCTCTGCCAAAGCTACTCTCCTGGACACAAAGGCATAATATCTGCCTACATAAAATCAGACTAACCTGTCTGCCTGGGACAGCACAAGTGTCTGAAGATGTCAAAGGGATAAGCTTCAGTGAGATTTGGCAAATGACTACATCACTCCAGGTTCTCTTGCATCTAGAAGATTCATCTAAAAACAGGAAAAGCAAATACTATTTTATTAAAACACCGAATGAAAATTAAGAACTATGATGCAAAACCAAATGGGCAATACTGTTTTGAGAAAGTGCCTGGGTGAGGCTTTCATTTTTGTGTGTGGTAAACACACACAAAAAATGCCATTTTAACCACTGGTGAGTGTACAGTTCAGTGGTATTAACTACCTTCACACAGCTGCACAACCAGTGTCACATTCAACTCCAGAAACTCCCCTGATTAAACACAGACTCCCTCCCCCATGCCCTGACATCCCCCATTCTACTTTCTGTCTCCAAGAATTCAGTTGCTCTAGGTGCCTCACAGGAATGAATCATCCAATATTTATACTTTTACGACTAGCTTGTTTTACTTAGCTAGATGTCCTCAAGGTTCATCTCTGTTTTAGTACATACCAGAATAAAGGCTCAATAATATTTTGTCATATGGACAGACCACTTTGTTTACTCATTCATCTGTGAATAGACACTTACCTTTTGGCTATCGTGAATACTACTACCATGGACTTGGGTGTACAAATATCTGCTGAGTCCCTGCCTTTAGTCTTTAAGGTCTATACCCATTGATATGTTTTTAGAGGGGCTTCCCCATAGAAAAAATTAATTAAAACAAGTTTTTCTGACAAAACATTAAAATATAAAAGTGATTTTTAATATGTCCCATTGGAAAACCATGCTCACAGTAAGATTAGCCTTGTGTCACAACCTGTACCCTCTTCTTAATAAGGACACCCCTTAAAAGTAGTTGTGGAGTTCACTCTGTCTTGGGAGTAGCAGCAGCAAGGGTCCCTTCTTCCTCTGCTCAGAAGGCTATGCCCCAGGCCACCTGCACACCCACAGCCACAGTCAGGACACACTCCACAATCTCCCATGTCTGAGTTATCTGTGTACTCTAGAGCCTAAGCTCACAAACACTGGAATAACCCCAGGCCTATCCTGTCTGGGTGAAAAGAACCAGGTCCTTCTGACAGCAATAAACATGTTAATAAAGAGAGGAGCACAACAGCGCCTTCAATTGCCTGGCCCCAGACCTAGGTTGAATATTAAACTGAAAACTCCAGAAGTAATCTCTATACTTGGCAGAGAGTTCTTTTAGCAAGTTGCAGATGCAGAGTGGTGAGCTGCAGCAAGAAGTCCAGGATCACACTGGATCAGAGGGACACAGAGGCAATGAGGCCCCACTCCATGTCCCTTCCTTCTTCCCACATCTCAAAAGGAAAGCATGATGCTTCTAGGCCCCAGCAACCAGGTTCCCAATGACCTCCTCAAGGCAGCAATTTTTTTTTTAGTTGTTGATAGACCTTTATTTTATTTACTTATATGTGGTGCTGAGAATCAAACCCATTGCCTCACATATGCCAGGCAAGTATGCTACCGCTGAGCCACAACCCAAGCCCCCTCAAGGCAACTATTAAAGACAAGTATTTTCCTTTGGTTTCAAACAAAATGAAACATTTTATTAGGTAAGTGATATATGAAAGCAGAATCACAATCACAAAAGTTATGTAAGACCAGATTATAGAATTCTGTTTAAATTACCTCTCTAGTTCTATCCTCCTTCTATGGAAAGAGAACAACCAACCCTTTGGTATACAGCTTTCAAAACTAACTTCCTTCCTTCCTTTCTTTTTTGCACTGGGGATTAAACGCAGGAGTATTTCACCACTGAGCTACATCTTCAGCCTTTTTTTTAAAAAGACAGGGGGCTGGGGTTGTAGTTCAGTGGCAGAGTATTTTCCTCACACATGTGAGGCACTGGGCTCGATTCTCAGCACCACATTAAAAAATTTAAAAAAAAATAAAGTTATTGTGTTCACCTACAACTAAAAATATTTTTTAAAAAATTTTTTTTGAGACAGGCTTTTGCTAAGTTGCCCAGGCTGGCATTGATCCTTGGGGCTGGGGACATAGCTCAGTTGGTACAGTGCTTGCCTCACATGCACAAGGTTCTGGATTCAATCCTTAGCAACATACACACACACACACACACACACACACACACACACACA